TCACTATCATATTTACCATCTAATTTAATTCTGGTGAATGAAACTGAAAGTTAAGGGCAAATTTTTTGATTATCAATAAGAGATGGTATAAATAGGAGAAACAGTTTTAAAAATATCTTTATCCTCATGTAGATGCTGCACGGGCTAAAGTGTCTACCGTGGTTTTTGTTTTTTCCAAATGCTCCTTCAGAGTATTTGAAAATATTCTTCAGAATCACATTTGCTAATAATGTCAGAACTGCTACAATCAAGAATAAAATGTATGTTTCCATGTGCTCTCAAAACCTCTTAATAAGCAAAAGTGGCATTTAGAAAATTGCTAATACATTAACTAATAGAACCTGTAAAAACAAAGAACATTTTGTGCTGTGACAGCCTCATTATCTTCCTGCTGATGCTTTGTGCGCTATGTCTTATGTTTAAACATCTAGCAAATATACTTTAAGACATTTGATGATCTCTTCCCTGAGTGAGCAAAGACCACCATAAGATGTGTCTAAACAAAAGTTAGACTACGCATCAAAACATTTCCTTTTAATATTTACAATCAGTTTAACATTTATTGTAACTAGCCACTAATTAGATATAATTTTTCTGTCATTCTCCTAAATCTCTAGAACCTTCTTATTGTTGTTTTTAGCAAGCTTGACTACATATCTATTCACTCTATGCATCTGAAGGAAGAAATAAGGCATAGGAATTTCTCAAACTTTCATCTGTACTCTGTACCAAAATTTGTCATCTGTACCAAAATTTGTCACAGAGTTGCTTAAATATAGGAAACAGGAGAAATTACTTATTTTTATTCCACATAGCAATAAAAGCAGTTTTTTACACAGAGCATACAATAAGTAAAGAAGCTAAATGTTTGCTAGCACTGCTTATAACTGGAAACGGACTATGTATTCAATAATAAGTAAAATAGAAGGTGGTGCCCCCCATGCAGTAAAATATACTGGCAGCAAAGTGGTATAAAGCAGTTATTAAGAAACTGGAGGCAGAAGTCAGGATGCTGGAGTCAAGCACAGGCTCTATCATTTATAATCTGTATTATACAGTTATATATAACTGTATAATCTAGGGCAAGTTATCTAAACTCTCTAAACATGCTTCCTCATCTAGAAAATGGGATAAGTGATAACTAATTCATATATATATAATTGATCGCCAAAATTCAACAGTAATGAAAATAAGCATTATAAAAAGGAAATATTTCATTTACTCTATTTTCTCTTTCATTTATTTAATAAAATGTTTTGAATGCTAACTTGCAAGGCAGCATAAAGATGAGTTAAGCACAAAGAATCTGAAGCCAAATAGCTTTGGCTCAAATCGTGGTTCCATCAGTCACTAGTTGTGTGGCCTTGGACAAGCAACACACATAAAGTCAATCACTGTATGCTTCAACTTCCTCATCTACAAAATGGGGATAATATTAGCATCTAATACCTCACTGGGTTTTCAGAGGATTATAAGTTAAAATAGAATGAGTTATATGAGTTTGGTATTATGTAAGTTAATAATATGCGTTATGAGCTATAAAATTTATAAAATGGTAATGAATATCACAAGAGCTATAAGAGGGCTTGTTAAAATAAGTGTCCTCCAGGCATATTAGCCTATAAAGATGAATAAAACATAGAATATACCAAAATGAATAATGAAAAGAATAGACTCTTTACCAGAAAAGTGAAGAAGAAATTAGGAGGAGAAAAGCAGAATATGCATATACAAACAGTTTTTAAGAGTTATTTCTGCTAAAATCCAACTGTATCCAGGGAAACTTTTTAAAATAATTTAAAATTTATTTAATGCAGGCAATGTTTAAAGATAATCTAATACAAACTTTTTTTTGAGACGGAGTTTCACTCATGTTACCCAGGCTGGAGTGCAATGGTGCGATCTCGGCTCACCGCAACCTCCGCCTCCTGGGTTCAGGCAATTCGCCAGCCTCAGCCTCCTGAGTAGCTGGGATTACAGGCACGCGCCACCATGCCCAGCTGATTTTTTGTATTTTTAGTAGAGACGGGGTTTCACCATGTTGACCAGGATGGTCTCGATCTCTTGACCTCGTGATCCACCCGCCTTGGCCTCCCAAAGTGCTGGGATTACAGGCTTGAGCCACCGCGCCCGGCCACAAACTTTTGTTTTTAAGGGAATAAAAGGTATTCCACAAAATGCCACACAGCATCAGTATGATTTTACCTCTGCTGCTGCTCAATTTTCACATTTCACAGTTTCATAGTTCTCTCCAAAGTGATAACTCAGGGAAATGATCAAAGAAAAGATGTTCAATTGCTACTCATTATGAAATAAAACTTTTAAAAGACTGAACAAATGAAGAGTAATGAATTGTTTATCATAAATACATGACACCAATTATTTATGTCACATTTCTACTTCTTTTTTTTTGTAAGATGTGCACATCGAGCTTGTTCTTTCTTTGTGAGGACACCAGCACCACTAAATTGGAAAATAAATCCTTAGGTTCCTTTACATGATAAATATGAAACAAAAATAGTACTGTGAGGATGGATACTATCAAGTACAAATTCTCCATTTTTGCTAGCTTCTCTCTGCTATGCTCCAGCAACACCCTGAAGCACATTCTTCAGGGAGTTTCTCTGAGAATTATAAAAGAAAAAGTCCATAAAACATATGCTTTCTCACTATTTCAGACTAATTTCATAGCGTAAAATCTGTCTGCTGTGTTATGCCACCATACCAGCCTTCCTTTTTAAAAAATGCTAAAGGCCTATTTTTTTTCTATACTAATCAAGAGTCAATAGGGAATTATGTTTAAGGCAAAAGAAGCTTCTTTTTTTTGTGAAGGGAACCTTTAACATGAACTGCCTTTAGGTAGTGAGTTGAGAAATAATAAGCACAAGTTTCAGTTCTCATTCTAAAAGTAATGATAAGGTATTAAACAGTCCACAAACTCTCACAAAATTTCCCAACTAGCCAAATTATTTATTCACAATATAAAGTAGAATTTCCTGCACACACTTTAGTGAGCCCATAAGGACCATCCCACAGCACACACAATCACTGAGATACTGGCACTTTTAATATAAAATATTAGGTTCTCTGCAAAGATTGTCTTCATGTAGTTAATATGAGCAATACTACACATAGATTTTGTCAGCCTTGTAGTTTTAAAGAATATAAAAAGTACTTTTACGTTATTAGGCATTTTTTTGATGAGATACCCAAAATCTGTTTATTTACTAATGTTTCAGTAAAAATATAGCTACCAATTTTGGAGTTCTTAAAGATACTGTTACAAATGTTCTATGGACTTTTAAAAAATAATTCTCAAAGATATTCCCTGAAGAATGTTATTGCCATTTAACATGATGAAATTAAAGTTATAAAAGTAATTTTCCCCCAAAAAATAGTAGGAAATGGTAAATTGGAGAACTAAACCTAAGATCAAATTCTAAATTCCTTGTTGTGGTCATCATTAAGCTACACGGCCCTCCTTAACTGACTGAAGTGCTGCAAGAAATGTCAAAGGTATCAGAAAATAAAGCTGGTTTTCTCTCTCCTCAAAGAGTTTAAAATCAAATTTGAGAGGCACTGAAATGCACCTGAAACAACTAGTAATCATAACCACTATAATATATACTAATTTGTAGAGTTGCAAATTATACACGCAAAAGAAGCTTAGAGAATAGAGAATGCTGAAAATTTAAAAAAATGTAAAACTTCTGAATTAATCATACTCTTTTGGGATTGTTCATTTAATTTTCTTTCTATATCATGAAGGCAGGGAACATGTCTGATTATTCATATACACTATGTCCTGTTATTAATGTTCCATAAATACATACTGAGTTAATTATTAATGTGTTACATCTTTATGTAGAGAGAGTCTTTAAGCCTAGAATAAATAAGTAAAGAGGAAAAGATACAGAGCATTACTAGAGGCACCACCCAGGAAATTTTACAGTGCATATACACACACTACAGGGAAGGAAGTGGCTTAACCAAAAGAAATGAAGAATAATAACTAGAAGACTAACATACGAGAGTCATTTCATGAAGGGTCGTGAGAGTCAAGTAGGATAGTTTACATTTGACCTAGCAGGCGATGGAGAACTATTGTTGATCTATAGCAAGTGATTCTATTAAAGTAGCTTGTTAGGAAGATTAGCAGTGGTATGTAGAATTAATTGGGTAGAGGAGAAAGTAAAGATCTCCACTGAATAGGAAACTGTTACCATGACACATATGTGACAATAAAAGGCCTTCCACTAGATTGTAGCAGTGGGAGCTGAAAAGAACCATCAAATCTATCTGTCATCCGTGATTATCAACTGTTTTGGAAAATAGGTTACACTCAGCAAGAAGCTTTTTTCCAACTGCATATATTCAAATTATTTTTATTCACATTCCAGAATGCCCTTCCCTCTTCATCCACAGCCTAGTGATAGTTACTTCTATATGGACAATGATGGGAATGTGTAAGTCATATGGAAAAAGGCTAATAGCCACTTTTAGATGGTTAGATACTCTATACACAATGTGTGATAATCGATGACAATGTACTTAGGACGTTTTTGTTTTGTTTTGTTTTAAGGCAGTTTCACTCTTGTTGCCCAGGCTGGAGTGCAATGGCATGATCTCAGCTTACTGTAAACTCCACCTCCCAGGTTCAAGCGATTCTTCTGCCTCAGCCTCCCAAGTACCAGGGATTACAGGCGCCTGCCACTATGCCCCACTAATTTTTTGTATATTTAGTAGAGACAGAGTTTCGCCATATTGGCCAGGCCGGTCTCAAACTCCTGACCTCAGGTGATCCACCCACCTCAGCCTCCCAAAGTGCTGGGATTACAGGTGTAAGCCACTGTTCCTGGCTGGGATTTCTTTTTTATTTGTAATTTCACATGTCTCTGTGTGTGTGTATGTGTCTGTGTGTGTGTGTGTGTGTGCGCGCGCGCGCACACACAAGGCAGGTACACATATATGTACTTTGTTGTATTTTGTTTGTTTCTTACAATGTATGTTACTTTCCTATGAGAAGGCCTAAAAATAATAATTAAAAAATCACTAATTAAACTTAAGAGCCTCTGCACAGCAAAAGAAACTATCAGCATTGTAAACAGACAACCTACAGAATGGGAGAAAATATCTGCAAACTATGCATCTGACAAAGGTCTAATATCCAGCATCTATATGGAGCTTAAATTGACAAGAGAAAAACAGCCCTATTAAAAAGTAGGAAAGGAACATGAATAGACACTTCTCAAAAGAAGACATACATGCAGCCAGCAAGCATGTGAAAAAAAAGCTCAATATCATTGATCATTGGAGAAATGCAAATCAAATTTCAATGAGAGATCATCTTACACCAGTCAGAATGAAAAGTCAAAAAGTAACAGGTGATGGTGAGGTTGCAGAGAAGAGGGAACCCTTATAACACTGCTGGTGGGAGTATGAATTCATTCAACCATTGTGGTAAGCAGTATGGTGATTCCTCAAAAAGCTAAAACCACCACTACCATTTGACTCAGCAATCCTATTACCGGGTATATATCCAGAGGAATATAAAGCATCCTACCATAAAGAAACATGCATGTGAATGTTCATTGCAGCACTGTTCACAATAGCAAAGACATGGAATCAACCTAAATGCCCATCAATGCCAGATTGGATAAAGAAAATGTGGTACATATATACAAAGAAATATTAAGCAGCCATAAAAAAACAGGGAGATCGTGTCTTTTGAAGGAATATGAATGGAGCTGGAGGCTATCATTCTTAGCAAACTCAAGCAGAAACAGAAAAACAAATTCTGCAGGTTCTCACTTATAAGTGGAAGCTAAATGATAAGAACTTATGAACACAAAGAAACAACGGACACTGAGGTATTCTTAAGGGGAAATGGCAGGAGGAGGGAGAGGAGCAGGAAAGATAACTATTGGGAACTGAGCTTAATACCTAAGTAATGTAATAATATGTACAACAAACCTCCATGACATGTGTTTATCTATGTAACAAACATTCACATATAGCCCCAAACGTAAAATAAAAAAATAAAAAAAATTGCTAAAAATGTCTTCCCAATCCTAGAGACATTTTGAAGCAAGTAATGATAGGAGTAAGTAACTTGGAAATAAGAGAAAAAAAAAAAGTCAAAGATAAACATGGATTTTGCTTGTGAAGTTGAAACAATAATTATGGCATTGCCAAAAACAAAATGGTTAGCAAACAGAGATGTTTTAAATCGAATTGGCGCATCTAGTACATTTTAATAAGTCCATTCAACTAAATTAGTTTATAACTTGAACATTAGTCCTGGTTTCTGATCCCAGGACTTTAAGAGATACCATATAATCTCCTTCAAAAAATTCAAATGAGGAGCTTATTGTTTGAGATCTTTAAATTTATATATTGAACATTTAAAGGCAGATATGCTTACAAAAGGCAGGTGAAGAAATAAAGGCTGTAAAATAATGACCTATGAAGCACTTATTTCTAGTGAACGATTAAATCTACTTTAGGTCATAAGCTCTTAAGAGAGTATCCACAGGGAGAAGAGAAAATGGCCAACCCTCTTCACCTATGTCTAAAAATGGCAATTGTAAGAGAGCAGCATCTTCTCCTTCAATGACTTGGGTTTACTGTATACATTTTGAGAGTTTATCATTATTTATAATTAGATTTTGAAAAACATAGGCTATTTTGTAAAAAAATAAAAATAAAAAACCCAGCAAACAGAAATAATAATGAGTATCTATAGAATATGCCAAACAGAGAGAGAAATAGAAAAATGAGAAGGCTCTAGAACAACATAAAAGTCAAAGATTTTAGTTACTCCAGGAAGCCTAAGGCATGACAAAAAGATATCACTGTAAAACAAAGGGATAAAATTAGAAACGGAAGCAACTTTCCCTTACTTACAATGAAGGGGCTCTCAGAACGCTGAGTTCTTGGTGCTGTGTGTTCAGCCTTTAAAATTCGTGCCATATAAATGTTAGAATAAAGGGAAAAAATGAAATTTGTCAACGTAAAAAATGTTTTTCAGAATCCTACTGCTATTAGTGCTTTATCGAGTTGTGACTACAGTTGACAGTATTTCCCCTCCATTAATAAATTACTTTGTCATGGAACCTTGGGGAAGATATACATATAAAACGAAAATTGCATTTAAGTTATACTAAATCCTATGGAGTATAAAGAAGAGATACATAATTTTGAATTTTGGACAGATGTTTCATCTTCTACAAGTCCACTTCAATTCCTGTTTTCAGAATATCTTTGGATATTTCTGCTATCCCAAGTGCTCTGGCTTGGTGCTCAATAACCCTAAAAAAATGCGGACTCAAAATTTATATTCCCAGCATAAACAGAATATAAACTCTATTTATGTTATAAAGCTATGTTGTTTGACTAATGGAGCTCAATTTAAATAGTCATTTTCTTTAAGTCTCAAACTTCTTATGACTAAGTCTCAGGATGGAAACCAACCAGGTACTGTCATGCTTACCAGCTTTGAGGTGATTCACACATAGAGGCTCCTTAAAAAAGTCCTTTGCTATCTATTCATTATACTTAGCAACATCAAACAGGGAAAAATAATTAAAAAGCTCCTATTGAGCACCTAGAGACCTTGAACATAGACAGGGGGTAAACACAAAGACAGAATATTTGGTTACAAGAGTCACGCTTTATCTTTTTAATTAATTTTTTATACATTTTTGGGTTTTCCATTATTTATCTTCTATTCCCTTGGTTCCAAAAGTAGTATACACTTACATGTACATATTTCATTAAGAGGAAATAAAAGGGTTGTCTTTAGTTAAGATGTTTCCATTCACAGAGACTACACATTTAAAAACTAAATTGCCTGAATAAATTCAATTACCTAGAGAAGCAAAGGGAATCACATGCAAATGACACAATATGAAGAGGCCATTCTGACAGCTTCATGTTTATTTTTATTGTTTTAGTCAGTGGAAGAGAAAAGCTGTCACAAATGTAACATCTCTTCCTTTTTAAAGGCCCAATGTCTCTGGTACTGAAAATTACATGAGCAATAATACTGAGAGGAGAAATTTGTCTACTATTGAAAATAGGGGCAGGTTCAGATTCTTCTCCAGCTAACGCCAGCACACAGTGGACTACCATACTCCCTGGTTATATTTTGCCTACAAAAAGCAAAGACTACTTAATTTGCAAGTAGTCCAGTATCAATCTGGTCAATGAAGACTGGCATTAAATAACAGTGTATCTTAAAAGCAACTAATAAATCCACTGATGTTAAATTTACCAATAACATGACTGTTCTGTCTCTGACATCAGCATTGTAAATATTAGGCACCATATATGACTTTATCAGAAGGGACTCTAGGCTTATACATTCCAATGAACGATAATTAAATTTATATTTTGGCTTACTCTTTCAATATGGCAAAAATAAATGAAGATGATTTAGGCTGACTTTGTAATAGGTTCTCACTGAAAATCTTTTTACACTGAATTTACGTGCTACCTGAGTTCTCTTGAAGCGTGAATGTACCAAGTAAATGTGGCATATGTTTGTATTTTCTTGCCAATTCCAAATTCATTCATTCAAATCACTCACTCTAGGCCAAATTCTTATCCAATTCCACAGAGCCACCAATTTTCCTAGAAGTGAATAACAGCTTTGTGAAAGGAAACAGGGAAGTCAATAGCAGGTCTGTTGGAGGAACTATGCAACTAGTAGACAGGATAAGAATTTGACCGCAGGGTTTCTTGAGGGTGGTAGAATAGAGTTTGAAATGACCTAAATGATGACGCTTTCAACACTTTCACTTGGGTGTCAATCCCCAACTCTGGCAATTTGAATACTGTGAATTTTTCATTTTCTACTCAGTATATGTCTTTCTTTATATTTTTTCCATGGCAATATTGTATACTACGTTGACTGTAACATGGGTTAGGTAATTATTTCCTTCTATACATTTGTATTACAGTGCTCTTTATCATGATTAACCTCAGATTGCACTCAGAACCTAAGAACATATTCTGACAAAAAAATAAAAGCATTATTTACCAAACTTCTTAATGTGGCAATCACTATACGAGATTTTAGTAGACTATGTCTTTGGTTCTTTCTAACAGGTCTATGAGGCATGAAATATGATCAATGCTTTTACATGCAGAAAAAATGAGTTTAAGCCATGCTTAGAGTTAAATAACAAATAATTTGAATCCACATCTCTGATTCTTTTGAATGTGGTTTTAACTACTGTGTCATATGGTTTCTCATCAGAGTAAAACACTTAATTGTTTTAATTTTACTAACCTTACCCTAATTTTACTATCTTTATGTATGTTATCTCTCAATACCATACAATGTTTCTGATACCCCAGTTTGGTTTCCTGAGGTACTTGATTAACATTATCAACTTTTTATAGTACTTTTAATTGACCACATCTTACAGTTCAATTTTCTTTACTTGCACTTCCAAATGAAAATCAAGCAATTTTGTCAACTTCTACATAACATTTTAAACATGCTACAGACACACACACACACATACACACACAGAGTAATAAAGCATGGTCAGAAAATATGTTAATCATGTCCCTACTTTTTGAAAAGCACTATTCTGAGTTCTAGAAGGAATAAAACTATAGGCACCTTGTTTATGGCACTCTGCTTTACTGTGTTCCACAAATATTGCTTTTATTTAACAAACTGAGGATTTGGGGCAAGGCTGCACTAAGCAAGTCTATTGGGATCATTTTTCCAACAGCATGTACTCATTTCATGTCTCTGTGTCTGTCACATTTAGGTAAATTCTTGTGATATTTCATACTTTTTCATTATCATTATCTACTTGGTGATCTGTGCTCACTAATCTCTGACGTTTGTACTGTAATTGTTTTGGAGCACCACTAATCACACCCATATAAGATGGTGAACTTAGTAAACGCGGCATGTTTTCTGACTACACCACTGACTGGCTATTCTCCCATCTCTCTCCCTGTACTCGGGCATCCCTATTCTCTGAGACACAATATTGAAATTAGGCCATGTATTAACCATACAATGGCTTCTAGGGGTTCAAGTAAAAGGAAGGGTCACCTGTCTCCCACTTTCAATCAAAAGCTAGAAATTATTATATTTAGTGAGAAAGGCATGTGAAAAGCAGAGACAGGCCAAAAGCTAGGCCTCTTGCACCAAATAGCCAAGTTATGGGTGCCAAGAAAATGTTCTTGAAGGAAACAGAAATTCTGCTCTAGTCAGCACACAAATGACAAGAAATCAAAACAGCCTTATTGCTTATATAGAGAAAGCTGTAGTGGTCTGGAGAGACCAGACCAGCCTCAAAATTCATTTAAGACAAACCCAATCCAGAACAAGGCTCTAACTCTCTTCAATTTCATGAAGGCTGAGAGAGGTGAGGAAGCTGCAGAAGAAAATTTGAAAGCTAGCAGAGGTTGGCTCATGAGATTTAAGGAATGAAGCCATCTTCATAACATAATAATGCAAAGTGAAGCAGAAAGGTGGATATAGAAGTGGCAGCAAGTCATCCAGAAGATCTAGCTAAGATAATTGATGAAAGTGGCTATACTAAAACACAGATTTTTAGTGTAGACAAAACAGCCTTCTATTGGAGGAAGATACCATCTAAGACTTTCATTGTGAGATGGAAGAAGTCAATGCTTGGCTTTGATGGTTTAAAGGACAGCCTGGCTCTCCTATTGAGGGTTAGTACATCTTAAAATTAATGGTGACATTAAGCTGAAGCCAATGCTTATTTACCATTCTGATAATGCTAGGGCCCTAAGAAATTATGCTAAATCAGCTCTATCTTTGTCTATAAATGGAACAATAAAGCCTAGATGACCGCACATCTGTTTACAGCATGGTTTACTAACTATTTTAAGCCCACTGTTGAGACCTACTTCACAAAAAGAGATTCATTTAAAAATATTTCTGCTCATTGACAATACCCTGAGTCACCAAGAAGCTCTGCTGGATATGTACAAGAAGATGAATGTTATTTGCATGCCTATTAACACAATATCCATTCTGCAGCCCATGGATCAAGGAATAATTTTGACTTTCAAGTCTTATTATTTAAGAAATACATTTTGTAAGGCTATTGCTGGCATACAGTGATTCCTCTGATGAATCTTGGCAAAGTAAGTTGAAAAACTTCATGAAAGAATTCATCATTATAGATCCAATTAAGAACATTCACGATGCAAGGGAGGAGGCCAAAATTTCAGCATTAAGAGGAGTTTGAAAGAGATTGATTTTAAGCCTCAAGGATGACTTTATGGGGCTCAAGACTTTAGTGGAGGAAATTATTACAGATGAGGTAAAAATAGCAAAAGAGCGAGAATCAGAAGCAGAGCCTGAAAACGTGACTGAATTGCTACGATCTCATGATAAAACTTGAATGAATGAGAAGCTGCTTCTTTTTCCTTTGAAATGGAGTCTCACTCCGTTGCCCAGTCTGGAGCGCAGTGCCACAATCTTGGCTCACTGCAACTCCGCCTCCTGGGTTCAAGTGATTCTCTTGCTTCAGACTTCCGAGTAGCTGAAACTACAGGCATGTGACACCAAGCCAGGCGAATTTTTTGTATTTTTAGTAGAGACAGGGTTTCACCATGTTAGCCAGGATGACCTTGATCTCCTGGCCTCATGATCTACCTGCCTCGGCCTTCCAAAGCGCTGGGATTACAGGTGTAATCTACTTTGATGAAGATGCTGTGAATGCTGTTGAAGTAACAACAAAATACTTAGAACATTCCATATCTCTAACATATACCTGTCTATCCATTTACATCTACATATACAATATGACGTAATTATAACATAATAGCTATACACATATATGCATACCTAAAGGAAAGGTAACTATGTTAATTTCAGCAATATATATTTATGATTTTTGCAATGAAAAAATATTCTAATATATGAATTTTAAAATATATGCAATAGTCTAGATTTTTAACTAAAGAGTTTTAAATGTACATATAATTTATCATGAACAATTAGATGCTAGCAATGCAAAAATGCCCAAAACAACTCTGTGAGTGTTTTGCCACCTACCCAAATTTAGAAGTAAGCCTTTGTCACTAGGACAGACATCCAGGTCATTTTATAACTTCCTACTAATCTCTTGAACGATGGCTGTTAATACTTCATTTCTTGCCCACTGTCTTTTCAAATCCAAAGCAATAGTCTCTTCATTGTGGTGGTGTGGAACTGAGCCTACAATATCTCCCAGATACGTGTATAATCTAACAGTCAAATCCAATGTTTTTAATAACCTCCTCGATACATTTGAGACTACTGAACAGCATTTATCCTAGCCTTCTGATGCCTACTCTCTACTGGTTTTTCATCATTCTCCCAGGCATTGCATGTTTTCACCTTCAATCTTCTAAAATGAATTTAATGGCCAAGATGAGTTCTGATTTGAGCATATAAAGACCTTGTTTCTAAGCTCCCTTTTGGGGATTTGATCTTGACATTGTGTTGCTGAAGATGTTCCTTCAGTTCCACCTAGCTTTCAGGAAAATCTTAGAACCCTTTGGATAATGTGCACATGTATTTACCATCATTCTCCACTCCACTTAGTGATATAAACATCACTCTTTGCTTTCCCCAGGCCAGGCATTTCTTATTTTCTCAACTTCATGCCCCTCCTCAAAAAACTTCAAGCTTTAAAACATGGCTTAAGTTTATTTACTTGGGGAATTATATGTTCTCAATAAATATTTGTGGAATGAATGACTCTTGAAAGTTACAATTTCAAATCTCATCTCACATACACAGGTAAGTTTCACATTTCCATGTCATGGAAGAGCATTTTAATCACATATTTCTTCAGTCCATTTTCCACCTAAATATTTCATATGTCAAACCCAATATTGATAATGTTAACTCAGAATTCTGCAACACAAATCTGTTGTCCTTTTTGGTTTATGTTTTCCCTCCTTAAAGTGCCACCAACATTTTCCCCGTCAAAGATATTGAAGCAAAAATCACACTTTGGATCTTAGGCAAGTCCCTTAACCTCTCTGAACTCTAATTTTCTCAATGTAATAGATACAGACTAATAGATCTCTAAGACCTAATGTGAAGTTTAAAATTATATAGATCTGTGAGTGGTATATATATAAAAACACAAGCTGATAATTGTCTTACTACTGGTCTTCAATCATTCTAAAACTCTTACTACAACATCTTTCTTTAAATAGCCCACACTAAAAAATCTAGATTTACAATAAGGTGAATAAGGAATATGTACTATTGCCTGACACTGAAATGAATTAAGTGGGCTCGATCTATCCCCATGGAAAGGAATAGGTCTTTCCTATGCTCTATGCCACCAAAATGAACAGTGATGCCTCTTACTTTGAAAAGCGGATCTGTAAATTAAGCTCTAGCTATGTACAAAGAACAAAGATAGTAAAAAAATTCTACATGCAAAACACCATTAACATAAAAATTTTTACTTTTATTGCTAATAACATGAGTAGATAGATTTAACTAAATATAACTAGGTAGTTTAACCTCAATCAGAAAAAAATTGAAATTTTGAAGATGTGAAGAAATGACAAAAATCCTAACTACCTTTTGATTTCCTTCATCCCTTCTTTCTTTCCTTCCTTCCCTCCCTCCATTCTTCGTCCCCTTCTTCCCTCCTTCCCTTTTTTTCTTGCTTGCTTTCAAAAAATGTGTAAAAACATCACCTGCTTTTCGTATTAGCTGGTTTAATAAGATTTCCTATTTGATCTTTTTGTACATGCAATGAACTGTTCTATTTTATGGAACAGTTGTATTTCTAGGGAAGATAAGAATGTTAAGATTCTACATTGTATTTCTAGGGAAGACAAGAATGTTAAGATTTCTTTTTGCTGATTACTCCAACATGCTTATTTATCTAATTTTGCCATATTAACTGGCCTGGGAAGAATAAACAACTGTAAGGCTCAGAAGAGAATATATTCCAAGTATTTTGAAGAAAGAGCATTTTTTTTCATAGTTGAGTAAGAAAAGTATAAATATAGATACTCATCATTTTTCATACTCTTTACAAAACCCACTCTTACTTTCTGAAATTCACTTTTGCCTGTGGTGATCTCTGCATAACTCAATCCTAGGTTACATGTACAAATATTGTTCTGAAAAACAGCAGACCAAAAAATGTCTGGTCTTAATTCACAGAATTCACCTGAAAATTTATGTATTTCGCTAAAATACAAATAAGCCAAGTAACGGCCAACATATTTGAGGGATTTTCTTAAATAGAACACCCATTTCCCTTCATTCTTACTCTACCCTCACCTGAACTATGGTTCAATTTTGCTCCATGGATTTGGTCTGGAAACAAACCTGTATTAGGCTTTTTTTCACTATTTCCTAAAGATACATATTTTGAGTATAAACTAAATAAGAAATTGAGTTCACGAGATAGGATTTTTATCAAGCCATTTCTACACTCCAAACCTCTCATGACTCCCCAATAACTGGATTAAAAATTCCCAGTTTTGATAGCATTCAAGGCCTCTCCAAATCTGGCTTTCATCTACCTTTTCAACTTTTTCATATTAAAACGTAATCTTTTAGGTCAGGCTTTTTCTTATGGGCTATGTTAACTTTATTTTATGCTCTGCACTCACTTCTATATTTACATCAGTAAAATGGAAATAATAATAGTTTAACAGAAGATTGTTAAAGATTACATGGCATGATAAATACTTAACCTAATTCCTAACCCATATTTACATTTAGGTAAATGTGATCTCCTATTTACTAGATTCCTTGAAAGCACACTGTACATCAAAAAAAATAATTTCCTAGTGTTCCACACACATACCTGGAAGTTCCCTGAAAAGACAAAAAGTAGTCCAGGTTGTATGCTACATAATTTTCACACCATACCTAAACTATCTGTTCCTTAGTATAAGCTCTTTTCCTTTACTTTACTTGGAATATCTTCCCCTCAATTTCTCTACCTCCACTCACATTTTCAAATCATAGTTATCCTTCATGACATAGCCTAAGTATCTTAGTTTTTAGGAAGCCTTCCTTCATTTCTACCCTCTCACTGAAGCCCCACCACTTTACTGCCCTGCTTTTGAAATTGATCTCACACATCTCTGTTTTGTTCTGATCTGTACATGTATATTGGATGTGTACCATGGTCCTCTGGAAGGATGGTCCTCAAAGCACCAGTCTCCAACAAGATAAACAGCAGCCCCAGAATGCAAATCAATTCTTTCACTAAGTATCCTGCTTAGTTCAGCTGATATTCTTTTCGTACTAAGACTTCTTGATGAAAGAAGTAGCACAGACCACATTTGTGAGTAGTACCTTTCTAGAATCATATGTCAGAAATTTCCTATTCTCCTTCTGTCAGAAAGTATTGTTCTTCCCCCATATACTCCCATGACATATCTATGTCCATCTGTAATACTTCCCACAATATTATCACAGCCACAGTTAAGACTTTTATGTGTATCCATTTTCCCCACCAGACTGTGAGTTTCCACAGGATAAAAATGTGCCTTTCTCATGTTGGCATCCAATATATTTCATACATAAGAGATATTAAGTATTAGTTTAATTAAAGTGATTTCTCTCCCATGTCACTATATTAAAGGACAAAACATTTAAGATTTAGATAAAACATGACCTCATTCTTTGCCTCCATTTTCTCCTATCATACTGTTACTCACAATGCCCACAGGGTCCAAATAGCATTAGAAAAAGAATGTGAAGTGAGAGCTAAATATAGAAGATGATTAGAAAAAGAAAAAGACTAGGGAAGAGAATTGAAAATAAAACAAAGAAAGGGTACACAGAAGTCTAGGTTATGAGCAAAGGACAGTTGATCTGTTTCTTGTTTATTTACCACAGTATTGGGACACCATCTGAAATTCAACTAGAATATTATAGTGATACAGGAATGGGGCAGAAGCTTAAGTAAGAGTGATGATTACACCTAACTTCCAAATTTTTTCCCTAAACCAAAGGAAAAAATATTTTTAGTCTCCATTATAAACCTAGAAGACTTTCAAATTCTTAACATATTTCCCCAATAAATACAAACTCTATATATTTTTTCTACACAAGAAAGCCCTTGACAATATAAGCTGTAAGGAGTAATGTTAGGCTATACCAAATAACTGATGCAGATCCTCTTGTATGATCCCACATTGCAGGTGAGTCTACTGAGCTACAAAGTCTACAGTTCTTATCACAGTCCCATAATAACTATTCAACCTATGTTTTCCCTTTCACTTTGCAGACCAGGTATTTGGACATGAAGACAAGACTTGGTGCTAAATTTTATTCTAAATCGGATTTGTGCCATTCCAAGTGGTTCTTCGGTGTTCATATTTCTTAACTAAAACTCCTGGTTGTACTGATCTTTCAATTTTTTTCACTATTGCTACTTATGTAAGATTATGGTGTAGCTTTTTTTG